TTTTCTTAAGAAAATGCAAAATGCAACTCTTCCCTTTGGGGTTGAGCAAAAAAATTTGGTTTGGCATGAAGAAAGGATTCCAGTTTGCTCTTTCCCCCAATACATTAGGAATTGCAATGATTGCCACCTTTTCCTTTTACCTTCCTGCCGCTGACATCCCCGCTTGGCCAGCAAACTGAGAAACCTCCCAACCCTGCCTGGGATCTCCTTGCGAGGCCATTAGTTTGTGGATTTTCTGTTTGGCAAACAAATCTAGATAGGAAGTGAGTGTAGTGGAAACCGCTGATGGGGCTGCTTTCTGAAAGTGGCTCTTGGAAAATTCAGAGAAAAGCAGATTCCTGTATAAGGAAAGACAGCTGGAGACATTTTTGTGCAGCAGACACTGCCAAGGAGCGATCACTTAGGAACAGCATGTTCATATGTACAGTTCTGGAAATCGTGACCCGGGGAACACATTCCCCACCTTTCCTCATTGACTCCCATACAAGTGCTGCCTTGATGCTCTTGAAAGAACCTTCTACTTTGCGTGCTGGAGTTGTGAGCAGGAATTAGTTGGCTTTTTGCACACTGGTGAGCCAAAGAACAAGAAGAACTTGGGTGGGGAGCTCTGTTCCACACAGAAGGACAAAGTTTTAGCAGAAAACAGCAAGATCAGGCAAGCTGGACAGTTTTCACTAGAGATAGCAAGGAGCTTGGATAGGTGGAAATGTCGAGCCAAGACCACACTGTCCTTTCAGCCATCTCCTCTTTGCTGAAATGGACTTTAGAGATATTATGGCTGCAGCTGTGCCTTGATGAGGGATAACAGCTCAGGGCCCCAGAAGGGTAGGATATAAAGTTTTAGCTCAGGAGAGGAGGTTCCCTCTCAACTCTGGACAGGTCTTGGTGCCTCCTGACCTCTGTTTTCCTGTTTGTGAGGTGGGGGGAGGCATTGACCCTCTCGCTGTGGGATGGACAGACCCAAGGCTTCTGGCATCAGCAGGCAGAGGTGACCCTGCTCTGGTGGCCTCACTCCTCACGCGGTGTCAGTGAAACGACAGGGGCTTCTCTTTCATTTGCTAAAGCCGTTTGCCTCCTTGAGGAAAGAGATTGGCAGGTGACCAACAAAAATCTGTATTTCTTTAATAACTGCCTCCTCATCATTCAGTCCTGCCAGATGCACAGGCCAGGATCTGGATTACCTCAAGCCCTGCTCTGCCTGACTCCAACGAGAGTTCATCTCCTGGCTCCTCTCCTCTCCTCTCCTCTCCTCTCCTCTCCTCTCCTCTCCTCTCCTCTCCTCTCCTCTCCTCTCCTCTCCTCTCCTCTCCTCTCCTCTCCTCTCCTCTCCTCTCCTCTCCTCTCCTCTCCTCTCCTCTCCTCTCCTCTCCTCTCCTCTCCTCTCCTCTCCTCTCCTCTCCTCTCCTCTCCTCTCCCCATCACCAAAGAAAGATTTAACCCAGGACTAAGACCAAGAGCACCAGCCAATTGCAATATCCTGAGTTTAGGAGGCATAAGACAGCAAAAGAATTACGACGACTTTAACTACCATTTTATGGTTTCAAGGCCGTCACTTCCAATCAAATCATAAACTGGATGTAGGTATACAGCCTGCCTATACATTCCACATACGGCACTGATTAAAGAGCAAGATGAGCTAATAGTGTTGACATCATTGCTATGAGTACATGCAATCCCTTGTGTGCCCGGAGTGCTCTGCAGCACAGAAATTCCCAAGACGCTGTGTTTTACGGTGTCATTATGAGGTTGTTTTTTTTTTTTTTTTTTATCTCATGAGATCCGAGTTCAGTCCCGACTCTGCCTCTGCATCCCTGTGTGACCACAGGCTTTATGGGCATTTGGTTCTCCCCCTCATCATCAGTGGGTGAAATCCTGGGTGCTGCAAATTGGGCAGCTCTCTCGGCAGTAATTCCTCATCCAAACCGTCGCAGCGGGGAATTTCACCCCATTGGCACGATTCCACGGGTGTTCTCGGTAGCTCTTGCTGGGCAGGTCGAGGTGTGTGCGGTGTACAGAGTGACCACGGGAATGGGAGAAATCCTGCAAGTCAGGAGGAGGATGTGAAATCCCCCGAAGGACACAGAGGCTGATTCCAGGGACATGGGGCGGAAGGTTTGCTGATTATCTTCCTTGCTGACTCCTTGCAAAAAAAAAAAAAAAAAACCAACGCCGTTTGTGAGGAAGATGTGGAGTTTGACACTTCACCTTTGGCTTCAGGCAATTAAGCAAAACTATTTATGCTATGTCCTTCAACATCAATTGATCTGAGTGAGTCACAAACTTAATTAATTTAACCAAAGGGGAGAATGAGAGAGTAAAATACTAAGGAGAACTGGAAAGAAAAACTGGGATGAAACCAGACTCTATTTGACACAGATTTAACCTTAACCATATCGTGAAATTGGTCTGGTTTTGCTCAGATTTAGAAGGAAATCACACATTCAAGCAGTTTACATCATGTGAAAATGCCTTTTGAATTTTTTTTTTTAATAAGATGCATTACTAAACCAGCAAGTTCAATAGCTCAAGAAGCGATGCTGGCATGGAATTTGATTTTAGCATCTTCCTTTCCAGAGAAGGATGAAACTCTTTGTGTTTGTTCCAGCCTGGTCCAAATCCAGGCTTCCGATCTCAAAAAGTCCTTGCAAAAATGGAAACTCCAGCCATTGCCCAGCTGCAATTTTAAAGAAAATGGGGATTAATACAGTTTTTCCGGCGGATGATGCGGAGCAGAGCACAGACACCCTTGCCAGCTCGCAGGGGAGGCGGGGGGGGGACATTTTGTTTTCTCTTGGCAGAGGTGTCAGGAGGAGGGGCAGGCAGAGAGAGCGATTTCTCCTCTGTGCCTCTGCTCCCAGCCTGCACTACCTCCCCTTGCAGAGCCTGAGGGATTCACCCAAAATCCCAGAGAACCAAGGAGGGGTGCTGGAAGGTGAGCAAACTGCTAGAAAGATCCCCCAAGGTGTGTAAAGCCTCTGCAAGGAAAAAACCCTCATCCCCAGCCCGTCGGCTTGCTGCCGTTCCTCCTCCTCCTCCTTCCAATCCCATTAGTATTAGAGAGGGATAGAGCTATAAGAGGAAAAGCCCATCTTTAGCAGCAGTGCTGACAGCTTGCCTTTTAAATCTTTGATAAGCGCTGGCTTGCACAGCCACTCTCTTCTGCTGCATGACAGCATGTGGAAGAGAAACCCAGTGGCCCGGCCGCTGCGGAAGGTCTGCTGGATGCTGGGCACGTGTTTGGAAGGCACCTGGGGAACCTCAGCCGTTAACACGCGGGGATGGAGCCTCAGCATTGCAGTTCTTACTCCCTCAAAAACTCTTTCCTCCTCCGCTTGCGTGCCAGGACCTCAATTCCAAGCCACGTTCCCTTGTCCTGTGTGGAGGTGGTGGCTGCTGTTCCCAGTGCTCTGCGGGAGAGGGTGTGCTGGAGGCGGGGGGGACAGGTCTGCCGGCAAAGGAGATCACTCACCGCGGCTGCTGGGTGCCCTGCTCGCCCCACACGGCTCCCAAAAGGGTTTGCAAGGGCCCCATGGCATTGAATTTGGCTCAAACTTCCCCCTCCAGGTCTCAATTTGGGACTGCAGACAGTCCCTCTGCTTAACTGGGTGCAAAAAGAGCTACTCCGGGGCATTAATTAGAAACCTTTATAAACGCACCGACAGATGGTGACCGCAAAGACTTTGCCAGAGTCTCTGGGTGAAGATTATTGTTATGGGAAGTAGAAAGCCATGTTTACAGCTTAGGAAAGAGTCAAGAATTGACTCTCGGAAACCACCATTGATGGAGGTGACCGTAGGGATGGAGCCTGCTGGGATGCTGCTGCCCTCTCCTGGATGCAGCATCTTCTTCTGGCCCATGAGCGTGGAGGTTGAGCACGGCCAGGTTGGCTGCAACACAGGCCCTTGGCGTCCTGGCTTCTGGCGACCACAAGCCACAGAAAGCTGCTCAGCTGTCGTTTTTTCAGAGACTGGGGCCCCCAGTTCCACCCCTTGCTTCCCATGGCGAGGCGGAGCCGGTTCTGGTTCCACGCCAAAGCGGGGTGAACTGGGCCAAACACTCCTTCTTTCTCCGCAAGAGCAGAGGTGGCTGCACTGCAGGGCGGCTCGTGGAGGTTTTTGTGTGTAAAGGGTTTTAACTGCACGGCAGACCCAGCAGTGTGTCCACCGAGAAACCTCCACTTAGCTGCCGCATCGGTGGGGCGAGCAGCGGTGCAGCTTTTGGAAAGGGAGATTTCAGGCTTTGTTCCGAGTGTGGCACATGAAGTCACCACCTCAGGTGAGATGGAAAGGCTATGTTCTGGTCTAGATCGGGTTATCAGACTGTTTGACAGTGATTCTTAGCTTGTGGGTTTGGGGGAGCGGGGATAATCTGCCCTGGAGATGAGCAGCAGCTTAAAATGTGTGAAAATGGAGTTAGGAAGAGCATCGGTGGGGATCGGTGACAGGGCAGCTGTACCTCGGGGACCTGGCTGGGTCACAGCTGTGTTGTGCCCCGTGCTGGATACGCAGCAGTGTACAAACACTTCACTGGGGTATTTAGCACTGAAATACTTAAATCAGAGCGAGAGTGTGTCTTTGTGTCACGCAGTGTCAGCACGCAGCCGGGGGAGAAAGCAGGGACGTGAATGTGCTTACAAGGCTTGTGCCTCTGGCCCGTGGGATGCAGCAAGCCCAGATTCTAGCACCCTTCACGTTTTTTCTGCCAAACCCAATCTGTTTTTTTCCAGCACGCTATGTGTGTTTGCAAAGTAAAAAGGGGCTCTACGAGGATGAGGGGGTGTGGTGGACCCTATCCCGGGCTATGTAGGTAAGCACATACCTGTGTCCCGCTCTGACCTCACACCCCAGTGCACACAGCAGCCTCTGGACACTGAGAGCAGCCCCGAGATGCCAATCCCAAATGATCTGGGGGGGGAGGAAGGGGATTTCTAGCAGACCTGCCCCACGCAAGCGTGTCCCGCAGAGGCAGCAGCCACGGTTGTGGGCAGAGCAGGTGGAAATCGAGCAGCCTGGATTTACTGCACTGCATGCCAAGGGGATGATCCAGCTCTGAGGCTCAGTCATGGAGAGGAAAATCCCTTGTATGAAGCAGGAATTACAGTTAGGTCCAAAGCTGTATCTGTGCTATAAGGAAAATTTAAGTGTCTGTGTAGAAATGTCAGGAAAGAAAGAAGGAAGAGCTGGAGCACTAATCTTAGTTTAGGATAAACAGTTCAGCATTTCCTCACTGTTTGCAAATTCAGTGTAAAAGAAGCAATATCTCAAAAGTCAGTGATATAAAGGTTTGGGAAAGAGCCAGGAAAAGAGTTGCAAAGGAGGAGGAAGAATAGCAGTACATGGAGGAAGGCTGTGGGAGGTGGTTACGGGCACTGCCCAAACATGAAATATCACCCTAAGAAGGGGTCTGGGAGGCTCTGGGTGGCTCGTGGTGCCCTGGGAGGTGTTTTAGGCTCTGTGAACAACTAGATGTGGCATGTGGCCACCACACACCACCCTGGCCCCTTCTCGCTCTCCCTGCGCATCGCTTGCCATCTAAGATTTTTCTTCTTTGGGTCTTGATTTTTTTAGGTAGCTCCTGGCTTAGTCTGCCTATTCCCCAGCCTTCAGAAGCAAAGCACAGCCCCCAAAACCACATGTCTTCTTCTGAGCCCATCCTGGATCTCAAGACAGACATGGAAGAAGCACTTCCAGGTGAGAAACGTGCCGGTTTGCTGGCCCGGGTGCCCGCAGTCACACCATGCAGAGCCCTGCATGGTCATCTTGGTGGACCTGCACATAGCCACGGACTTTTGATAGGGATGCGTGTTCCTGCCAGCCCCATGTCATGGGCTATCCCTCTTCCTGCTGCATCCCATTCATTCCTTCACCCCAAGTGGCCTGATTTGCTCCCAATTCCAGTTATGCCATGGCCACTCTGGGCTCAGGCTTGGAGTCAAAGACGCATTGGCTGGCGTTCAGTTCAGGGAGGATCACCCCAGGCTGGAGAACCAGCTGGTGAGAGACAGAGGGCACAGTAAGGGCTGTATCTTCTGGAGGAACTGTGACTGGGGTCTGCGCTGCTAATAAAACCTCTTTCCATCAGCTGGGAAGATGGGATGTGGGCTTGAGGCTTCATGTATGCAGGCTACACGGGTTTCTTCACAGCCTGCTTTCAGCCCGCTCTGCAACCTGGGGAGCTCTGGTTTAGCCCCCCAGCACCCTAACGCTCAGCTTTATCACTGGAGAGCATCTTCTGGTCCAGGCAGTGTGAGGCCTCCACTCCCAGGCATCAATTTCGGGCCAAGGTGGGCCCTCCGAAGTCACCCCTCTCCCTGCATGTACCTCTACTGTTGCGTACTTGCTGTATATTTAAATAAGTCAACACCAGGGCACTACAGGTTCTCCCACGCGGAGCTACTTCCAGAAATCAGCTTCCCACTGCACATGCCATGGCAGAGAGCGGATGAAGAGGCTGAATCACCTCTCCCGGGTTGCAAACATTCAGCCCTTTCCAAAACCGGGATGGCAAGCGACCGCTAATCTCCCATTCACACATGAGCGCCCTCGAATCTCCTCCTGAGAACCTGCAAGGCAACCTCTGCTGTTTCCTGACACTGGAGAAAGGAAAAATACCTGGTTGTTGGAAGTTCCCAACAAGAGCCATGAAGATGCAAAGCCCAGTGTGGGGACCTGCTGCTTTGCTGGATTCACCTGTCTTTCATTTACTTACTTAGAGCGAGCCCTGTGACGCAGAAACTCAACTGGTAGGCAATAATTTCTGGGCCTTCTAACCATATAAGACTTATTGTCCTATCCTGATGTTGCAGTCAATGAGTAGAAGAGCCCAAGAATCCCTTTTCTCCACCAAATATGAATGCCAAACAACTTCTGTGCTTCATTCTTTCATTTGCACAATTTATTTCCTCTATAATCTTTTCAAAGCTGTGGATGCAGGCAAAATGCTGTCATCCCACCTCAGGGACACGTCCAGTGATGATCTTCTGTGGCCGGGGACAAATTCGTTCTGGACAGAAATGGGTGGCCTGAGAAGAGTACACACCCTCAAAGTCTGCCAGGGATTGTCAGGAGCAAATTGATCCCTCTTTTGAGGATATAATGAAGCATCTTATGGTTGCTAGAGCAAGTTTAAGGTATATTTCAGCTGTGAAAGAAACCTGGCAATTCCTTGAGGGCACCGAGAGGAGTGGTAATAACCCATGTGATAACTCACACTGCAACATCCATTTGGCGTTTAGCGATGGTTTGCTCCAGGTAGACATTCCCAAGACTAGTCCATGCTCTTGGAAAAATCTCCTGGCCTCTTCCAGCTTGAAGGGCTCGGCCCAGGGGTGGCTGCTCCCCGGTTGCTGTTGCGCCCCGTGGCCTCCGAGCTCAGGCTGACCAGGAGCTTCTCCCCTTGCCAAGGGTTCGCCGTCCACGGCATTGATGAAGAAATAAAGACCTGCCAATAAATAGGCAGGTGTTACCCAAATTGATCAGCTTGACAAGAAGTGCTTAGTGAAAGATGCTTTTGCTTCACGTGGTATTGAGACGTCTACCCTGGGCCAGATGTTTTGCTGATGTAAATCAGCGTGGCTCCACTGGCCTCAGTTACAGCAGTTTACAACATCTGAGGGCCTGGCTCTGCACCATCACCGGAATTTGACCTCTCGTGTCTGAATCCATTCTGCTTTGCCAAAACGAAACGTGTTAGAACTCCTGTCCCTGCCATAAAGCTGCACTCAAAAAAGCACGACCAAATGAAGCCATCATGCAAAGTTTTGGTCCAGCAGATTGCATGCATACATTATCCTCAGAACAGATTTTGCAAGGACCTGGGACATCCCAGCATCAGGGGGAAACAAAACTTCAGCCTACCCCTGCCAGAGAAGGCAGCGAGAGCTGGGAGACCCTTGGAGAGGGGGAATTGCTGCTTCTTCTCCCACCTTCCCCAAGAGTGTCAGAATTGAAGCAGATTAATGCAGATGATAAATTAACCACTGACTTTATAACCTGGGTGAACATCCACCGCTTATGAATAAGGGGGAAAGAATATTTGGACTGTGCGGATCCACACTGAGCAGCAACTGTAGTCTAAAACCGCCAGCAGGTCTCATACCCTTCCAAAACAACAAGCAAAAAAAAAGATATGTTTGGAAAACAGAAGCGATTTCACAGGGATGGATTTGAATTGCAGCAATAAACTGTGTGATTAAGGCAGTCAGAGTGTACACAGTCACAGCCCCAGGCTCCACGCAGGGACAGCTTCTCCCCTTCCTCGGCAGGCAACATCCAGCCCTCGTACAGCTCCTGCCAGCTCCGGGGAGAAGAGGAAATAAGGAGGAAGTTAGAGATTAAATCCACCATGGGATGAACTCAGAACAGCAATTAGCCTGCTGATGGATATCGTGTCAGCGTGCACCGAGGGGTTTAGAGAGCGGCAGGCGCTGATTTAGATCACGGCTGGGGCTTGGCCCTGAATTAACTGCAGAAACACACCCTTCACGGTATTTGTTCCTTCTCCGTGCAGACCCTGGCTACTGACAGAAGTCACGGATAACCAAAGGTGGCTCGAGTTAGATGTCCATCTGTGATTCGTGACAGACACGCTGATTTAAATGCCAAAGAGGCCCAAATTACGTAGCATTCATATGTGCACTCCCGCAGCGCACACGCTCCCTGGGTTGCTGCATTTCTCCTGTGCACACGTTTGCAGGACGGAGGTATTTCCACACTGCACCCACGCCTGCAGTGTGTGTATATAATCACAAGCGCTCGGCAAATACTTATTTATTTAGATGAAAGCTCTTGAGGGCATTTTGTTTCCTGCAGCCACACTGCCTGCACATGATCCTGCAAGATAAACATCCTTACAAGGGGTAAAGTTGTGAGCTTCATACCCACAGGAGGTGAAACGGGTGATGTCTGTGAGCCCATCTCCATCACTTTTACACTTCTCAAGCTGTTCCTAACGTCTTTATCCCAGAGAGCCTGGGAGGAATGGGGGAACAGAGCTACTGCCCTCCAAGGGGTACTGCGGGGCATTCAGCACCCATGGCACCAACACCACCAGATACCACTGACCAGCTTTCCTCCACCTTTGATTGCTGGGCCTTCCCTCCGGGGACAGTAGTTCACGCTTCAATCAGCCCTCAGAAGAAAAAAAAAAAAAAAAACAGAACTGAAATCCCTCCTTCCTGAACCCACCTCCTGACAGCAAAGGACACCCTGAATGACAGAGAAACATCTGGATTTTTTTTTTTTTTTTTTAAAGGCTGCAAGGTTGGGTCTTTCAGGAGGTGCACCTTGCTGTTTAGATTTTTTCCCCCGGTTCTTGCCGAGCTGTCGCAACAGCAGGAACTGATTATAAAACTAGCAGCAAGGGAGAGCCGAGCTAGGTTTTCTGCCACCTGTGCAACGAGCTTTGGGCTCAAGCCACTCTCTGCACCTGGCACATCCCAGATAACCAGCCCAGCCGGGGCTTTCTGCTGCGCTTGGTACCTTCTGCCAAGGGATGCGGGCCCCCCTGGAGAGCCAGCTCAGCGCTGAGGGGCACGACCAGAAGCTGCGTGGCAGGGCCTGGGTGTCAGCCTGAAAGAAAAGCACGTTGGCACGACCGCACCGTGAAGCTCCCCGCGCTCTCCGCCAGCTGGATTAACGCCATTAAATGAATATACAAAGCAAACGCAGCGCCTGTGCTGATAAATAGGACAGGTGTGTGGCTCCCCAGGGAGTAGGAAGGACCTTGGGTTTGAGCAGGGAAGTTTGAAACCAAAGGCGGTTTGTCTGTCCTGGTCCTGGCACCGCCGCGTCCCGCCGGGGTTGCCATAGCAGTTAATCCATCCACAACGCTCAGCAGTGCTGCAGATTTAGCAATAACCTTTGCTGGCACGACTGGTGTAACGGAGGCTCTTGGGGACTGCAGAGGCTACTGCTGCGGGCACGTGGGGTCAAAGACATTTATTTATGCCGAGTCTTGTCCTTCTTCGATAAAGCGAGGGAGATTAGAGCCAGCCAGGAGAGCAGACACACCTGTTTTCAAGCTCAGCTCGACTTTTCAATAAACAATTCAGGCAGAGGCAAGACCTGAGATCGATGAGGTCTAGGAGCTTGCACAGCAGCGGTCGCGTGGCATCAGCCATGGGTTCAGTTGCAGATACACCCCGTGCATCCCAGTGCCCATCCAGCCTGTACTGGCCACCGCCAGTGATCAAGGCAGAGCCAGGCTGGCACTTTCCAGTGGAAATTGCTCTTACGTCCAAAATCTGCAATTGTTTCCATCACCACCTGCTTTCTGGACGCAGTCTGAGCTCCCCATCACTCTCAGGCTCTCAAGTAAGAGTTAACGAGAAACCTTTTGGATGAAGAGTAAATCTATTTTCTGAACGTGCTTTTAGGGAAGGCAAAACTTCAGTTGAAGTGAACTGTTTAGGTGCTTGCCCCCTCTTCTCCAGGCACACACACACACAAAACATGCTCTTCCATCTCTCGTTCTGGAACATTTACCCATCTTTGTGCCACAGCACCGTAAGTTTAAGAGGCTGGAAAGGAGTTTAATAAGCTTGCAAAGGAGCAGACACATTCCTCTTTGACCCCAGGCGATGTGCTGTTGCTGTTTTTTCATGGAAAAACTGGAAGGAAAAGAGCTGTTGAAAAAAAGCCATGGAATAGAAGCAGTCTGAGATGCACAAAGCTCTGTGTCTACCCATGATGGAGCTTTCCCTCTGGTGCCTGGCTCTCTGCTTGGCTGCCTGGTACGGGCTCAGAGAACGCTTTTGTTTGGGACAGAAAAAGAAGAGCAGAATCTCCTTTTCTATTTCGGGGAAATCTGAGTCTCTGCAGCAAATGGTGGGAAAGGAAAATCGATCTTTGAGCCCAACGCAGCCCAAGCTGAAGATCCCTCATTTGGCTGGGGAAGCAGCCCAGGAGTGAACCGCTCTTCGCGTGGGTGCGTCGGGACCTTGGGACACACAGAGACCCCCACGCAGAGGAGCAAAGCCAAGAGCGCGAGCCTGGCGCACGGTGAGTTCATCTCCCCGTCAAACGCTCTGGAAAAAATAAAATGCCATCCGACAAAGCAGCGAGGGGTTGGGACGGTGTGTGCTCCCCCCTGCAAAGCAGCAGCTCAGCCCCTGCCAGAGCCCGTTAATTGCACTCGGCAGGAGGTGGCTCAGCCCCACGGGGGCTGCGGCGGGAGTGTCGCGTCGGCACTTGAAGGGATGCTCTAAAGCAGACGAAGGCGTCACATCGGAGGCGAAGTCTAAGAAAATTTAAAAAAAGGGTGAGAAAAATCAGTCTGTGTAACAGATCTCTTTTCCCAGCTCAGTAGCTGTGAGGTGCACTCAGAAGAAAAGACGTGAGGCGTCCTAGGATTGTCTTAGGAGCTTTACCCACGTATTGCCAGACACAGGCTGGCCCCACAGAGGCTCTCGCTGCTGTGGGCAAGACACACAAATGTGAGGGAAGCATAGCCCGAGGAAAAATGAAGTTATTTGTCCAAAGCTGCAGAGAAGATCAAAGAAATACCCTGGACCTGGACTGCCTCAGAGTCCAGGGCATTCAGCGCCAGGTTTGGTCCAGGTCAGACTTTAGCCAAAGTCATCCCCACACTCTTCAAATCATTAGCAAACAGAAAGAAAACATATGCTCATTCTAATAGCACGCCCCAACCTTCCCACTGGGGTCAGAAAGACTCTGGTCTCATAGACAGGGTTAGGCAGAGATCCCTAGACCTAAGAATCTTGTACCAGTCATGGGATATCTGCTGGTGGCCAGCGTAGAAGGGTGGCCAAGATGAACATCCACCCCTTGACATCTGTCTGATGCTGGTTCCTGCAAATTCCCCCGTGGAGCTGACTTTCCTCAGCAAACATCTGCGAATCCACATTGCTTTTGGCTCCCCTCCAGTCCTTTGCTGTTTGGAAATGCGTGTGCCCGTGCAGGTGAACTCGTGGGCTCTGATGCTTGGCCAGGATGCTTGGCCAGGAGGAATCGTGCGTTTCAACAGCGTATGGAGAGAAAATAAAAACCTGCTGAGGTCTGCATTCCTCAATGAGTGCAAGATCATTTCTACAGATGTTAGTCTGAGAACCAGCCAGAACAGGCTGAGATAACATGCCCTCGGTGAATGAGATAGAACAAAGGCAAGTAAACTCTTATGGACAATTAATATTTCCAAAGACACGTCATTAAGACTCACTAGCTCCTTTATGCAAAGTCCCTTGGCTACCTAGAGATGGCCTAAACTACCTCATCATACCTAAATTAGCAGAATTACACAGCTGGTACCTGCAAAACATCTGGACTGGGCTGTGCACTGACACAGGGGACTGTGCACTGGAGAGGCACGGGGATGGCCTGACGATCACCTCCTCGGCCGTTTCAAAGCAAAGAAATAACCCCTTTGCAAACCTATACTCTAGCAAGAGATTTTTCAGTGTGGCTCTACACCATTTTGCCGCTCTCCCCAGGCTCGGCAGCCCACCACACATCTCAGGTTCAGCAGGAACACAGCGAGAGGTTGCCGGAGCGTGCAGGTTGCAGGTCTGTAGCCGTGCCAGCCCGTGCACGGGGAGTTAGGACGGGCTGGTGGGGACAGTCTGCAGGAGCCATACCCAGGAGAGTGGCTTTTGTTGTCAGCCTGGTGACCTTAACAAGTTCTTTCACTTCTCCGTGCCTCTAATGGGAATAATGTGATGTAAAGTGTGTTGAAAGCTTTAAAAAAAAATAAATACTATGCCAAGCCAGCTACAGTCATTGGATGGCCTAGAAGATAAGATGCTAGAGAAGAACTGAAGAGATTTAAATTCAGTCTCCAGCTAAGCCATAGGTCCCTTGTATGAATTTGGCTGCATCAGCTTATGTTCCCTGTGCCTCAGCTCCCCGTTTCACAAACGCGGTTGTGAGGCTCGCAGATAAGATGATTAAAGCATTAGAGACTTTATTCCATCACTCAAAGAATTTGGGGCAAAGATACATCCTTGTAACTTCCTGCAGAGGTTTGCCAAAGAAAATCCAGCCTTCAAGGTTTCTGCTCAGTGATGGATGACATTTCTGCTTTCCACCTCTAGAAGTTTTAGTGCTGGAGCTGTTCAAGTAAATGTCAAAAGAAAAAAAAAAAAAAAAAAAAAAGAAGAGGAAGGAAGAGCCGGGGAAAAAGCCAAACTGTCCGTACAAAAAGTTTTCAAGGAAAAAGAAAATCCACCTTGACATTTTCTTCTTCTGGGGGTGGGGAGGTGTGTGCAAAACTTAGGATGAGGAATTTAAAATTGAAATACTTTATACCCTGCTTCCTATCTCTGCTAGCAGATGTACGCTAAAAAAAAAAAAAATCCCAGCAGGTCAGGAATTTAGACATTTTAAAGAAAAATCTTTGCTTTGTTTTCAGAGCTTTTTGGATCTGAGGAACGGGGCAGTGGCTTGCCATGGGAGTTTGGTGGGTCCGCCCTGATGCCAACCTCAGCTGCTCTGGGGTCCTCCCTGGCTCAGCTCCCCCGTGCAGACTTCCCGCACGGAGACCTGCTCGTGGAGCCACCGCTGAGGGCATCCATCAGCCCGACACTGAAAAGTGCCTTGAGGGATAAGAAAGGGAGAAAAGGGATGGGGAAGACTCCCCCCAGGTGAAGCAAGCGGGGGGCCTCTCCCAGGCCGTGCTGCTTTTTCTATAGTAGATCGATAGTTCTGATCAGGACTCAAACTCCCTTTTGATTGCTTTCATGTATTAATAGCAAAGATTGGAGGACATCTGGCGTGGGCAGATGTTGCAGCACTAATTGCTGTTCATCTCTGGGCAGGTGCATTATTGGGTAGTGCTTTTGGATTGCCTAGATGTTAGCTACTAATGGTGTCTGCTGCGCCCTGCACACCCCCTCATATAAAGTCCTACCTGGAAAAACTACACGAGGAGGGGGAAAGACTGAAGATAATCAACACCCCGCTGGCAATCGCTTCCTATAAAACCCCACGTAACAGCATTTTCATGGTCCACTTCTGCTGTGATGGCCAGAGCTTTTGTAACGCAAGGGTAAATGTATATCCCCGGCTTTACATGGGTAGGTATAGGTGGAGGGTTGGAAACAGAAAGGCAGACAGGGGAAAACACGAGTGAAAACATTGACAGCAGCAAATTGGAGGCTCTACTTCAGTTAAAGCTGTGCAACAGCAAGGGAGTTTTTTTAAGTGCTTTGGAGGAAGCAATGAAAACTGCTGCCAGGTTGATACCACTGCTCAGAAAAACAAAGTTTGTTATTGTGAGGGGAAGAAAGTCTCTGTGTGCCTGGACCCACCAAAAAAAAAAAAAAAAAAAAAGAAAACAACCGTGCAACTGAAAACAATGACAAGAAACACCCCCCTTTGTCCCAAAGCTTTCAAGGAGCAGGAAGGCCTGTGTTTCTGCCAAAGATATTTAGAAAAACAGGAACTTTGAGGGAAAAAGAAGAAACAACTTTCAAAACAAATCCCCTCTACACCAGCAACATTTTGAGAACATCTCTGCCAGCTGTGGGGCAGGGTCTGGCCCTGGGCAGGGGCAGAAATGAACCCGCCGCGCGGTCAGAGCCCTCGGCCAGCTGAGGCCACCTCTGCTGTCCCACCACCGGCTCCGCCACATGCCCACGGCACCTCCGGAGCCCCACGACCTCATCTCCAGCTTCCCCTGCAAACCCCCCCGGGACCAGCGTGGTGGTCACCGGCGGTGGGCTGGCACCAGAGGTGACGGGTGGCACCGGGGAGGGGGAAGGACGTGTGGGCGAGGTCTTCTGGGCTGGGGGAAGACCCCTCTCCCCTTCCCATCCACGCCGGGCACGGGTATTTAGCAAACACTCCCCGAGGGTCGGCTGTAAATGCATACACTGCTCTTTGCAAACCTGAGGAGGGGGAGCGGGGACGCCCCGTGCTAAATGCTTTCTTAGCAGCTTCCATCAACTTTTCTCCCCGACCGATTCTCCCTGGCAGCTGGTAATTGGATCAGAGGGGCTGTTTCCCATGCAGAGCCGCTGCTTGCTTTCCGCTGTTGTTAACAAACAAAAGCCTGTGCAAGCCCTGCCCGAGGTCTGCGGGAGGCTGTGCGATTTCTTCTTCCATTTCAGGCCTCCTTGCATCTCAGTTTTCTGGTTCGGACCATTCCCGCCCTCGGTAGCCCTCAGCACCAAACCGTGCACCACAAGAAGCCCATAACCTCTCCAGGACCACCCAAGCCCACCCGGGGCTGGCCCCAGGGCTCAGCCAACCCAAGGCTTGGGGATGGGGTCACCAACGTGGTGGCTTGGCTTTGCCCACCCGGCTGGGGACTCCGCAGGGACACTGAGCCCAGCTACCCGCACCCCCAGCGTGGCTGCACCCCAGCCTTGCTCGAGAGGTGTGCAAGCTCCCCGCTCCTCACGCAGCTCTCTGCTTTCCTTCCCCAGCCCACAGTGACCCCGAGGAGCCAAAACAAAACCATGAGATGAGGCACGACCCAGCTGGCCCCGGCGGTGGAGGTGACTTTGCAACCTCCGGCACGAGCAGCCGTGATGATCCCTGTCCAGCACCGACCACGGATGAGACCCTCCCAGGCAGAGACCCCCAGTCAGAGGCGAGGGATCCCAGCCCCACTGACCCCGTGCCATGGCCAGAAGCTCCTGAGAAGTTCCCAGCCCGCCCCAACACCCTGGACTTCTCCAAGTCCCTGAAGAAGTTGGAGGAGGTGAAGCAGACAGGGCAGAGAAGAAACAGCAACCACGCGGCGGTGAAGGAGAACGGGGTGGAGGTCAGTCCCGCAGTGGCAGTGAGGAAGGAGAGGCAGGCGCTGGAGTCCGAGCTGGGGAAATGCATCGAGGACTTCCGGAAAATCAAGATCCCCGTCACCTTTCCCAACAAGAAGAGGCAGTGGCAGAGCGAGCTGCTGAAGAAATACCAGCTGTGAGAGGAGACCTCGTCCCCCGGCCCAGCAGAGGATGTCCTCCGGTTCATTGAGTGTCTCCACCAATGTCCCCTGGGTAGCGGGTGGCAGAGGCTGTCCACACTCCCAAAATGAAGAGTGTAGGTTGCTCATTGAGCCCATCCAGCAACCAAAAGGGTTACAAGGCTGTGCCCACAACAGAGTGCTCCTTACCATGGCCATCAGGAGGGATGCATGATACCCTCAGCAGCATAGACATAGGTGGAGGGGTGTAGAAAAAGGAAGGAGGTCTGGGGTGAATGTTCAAGGCCAGAGCTACCATCCAGCAGAAGCTCCCACCTTTATGAGAATGAATTTTCTTGGCATTTCAAATAACAAAATATAGTTGGTGTCAAAAATGAATTCCAGTCTCCTCTTCTCTTTGGTACAGATGTTTGAACTTAGCTGTTCAAAACCCTGCAAGTGGCTTAGACATTCAGTTTTCCTGAAATTAATGCAAGTTGTATATCTGACTCCTCTACGTTCTTGCCAAAACTTCTCCGTCTGTGATGTTTGCAACCGGATTCAGCAAAACCTTCTTTTCATGAGAGGTCACGATGTTTTGCAGATATTTTCCTTTTCTTACACAAACACTTGAACAGTGCCCAACCTTGCGTTTGGGCCTCCGGCCAGAAATGAGTCAGTGAAAGGGAGGGTGCTGCCCCAGGAAGCCATGGCCGAGCCAGCCAACATCGCTCCAATGACCAAGAAGCTCCACCTTGAAAGGAAAAAAAAAAGGAGCAGCTCGGGCATATGGGGCTCTTCCACAGGATGGGGGACCTTCTGGGTGTGCATCTGTGGGCCGGAACCAGAGAATGGGGTGGGAGGGTGACTTTGGGGTGGGGACGTGCTACAGACCACCCCATCAGGGTGAGGAAGGGCACAAAGCCTTTAAACAACTCGAGGAAGACTGTGAGTGACAAACTCTGCTCTCATGGGAGACTTCAACCTCCCTGATGCCCGCTGGAAGGGCAAAGGGGCAGGATGCGAGCGGTCCCAGAGATTTCTCGGGAGTTTCATGGATAACTTCACGATAGAGGTGCTGGATGGGCCAACGGGGGGATGCACAGCTGGATAATGGAGGAGACCTAGTTGGGGCTGCGACAGTCAACGGCAGCTTTTGTGCCAGCAATCAGAAATAGTGATTTTCAAGGTCCTGGGAGGAGGAAGGATGGCGAGCAGCAGAGTACAGGCCTTGGCTGAGCCGTGCTGTGACCACACGCATCAGCCTGTTCCCTGTCACCCAGGGGACCCCCATAAGAGTCTCCCCCCCCCATCCTGCATCCCACCACCCCCAGAATCTGGCCTGAGAAGTCCCTTGCTCTGTGGACAGCAACTTCCCCGGCCACGGCTCTTGGGACGATTCAGGGAAACCCCTGCGTGTCACAGAGAAACCACCTCGTCCTCTGACTGTGATCTCCAAGCAGCTCCTCAGATGGCAAATAATGTTTTTTTCAGGTTCAGTGAGAACGAATGAAATGAAAAACCCGCCAAGTGTTTGCTGTGGTGAGGCTCTGCCAGGAGTGAGGAATTGCTTGGCCCCTCGGGGAGCGGCCGGGGAGCCCGGACCCACATTCTTCTTCCTTTGATACGCAGCCACTTTAGGAAAGTGTTTACAAGAACGTGGAGAGCTGGAGCAGTGCGAGATAATGCTGGGGCACAGCTGGCAGCCAGCAAAAGTCTCCATAAAGGCGGAGGGAAACCACATCATCCCCTGCACTGGAGCTTCAATTCCCAACACACAGACAGACATGGAGCTTTTAAGAGCAGAAGTGTCTCGGGAGGGGGCCAAGCTAGAGGCCATCAGATCTGGAGCCTGTCGGCGGCTACACTGGAGCCACTTGGGTAGGAAGAGCTGCAGAAGATGTTGCTGGTGCTAAAACCAGCCGCCAAACATCTGCAGCTGATCTGGCGATTGAAGGCAGCCCCATCTCAGCCTATTTTCCCCAAAACTTGTGCCGCAGGGACCACGGCTTCTCCCACCCAAAGACACGCTCCAGCCAGGCTCTCCCGCGTGCTTTGATCAGCCTCCAGCTCCAAGAAGTGCCAACCCTGCCCTGAAACCAATTCCTTGGCGGCAGGGCAGACTGGCTTTTGGGAAGGAAGAGGAGGTTTGTTGCTGGCAGAAGCCCTTGGAAGTCCTCCTGTCTCCTTCCTGGAGCTCCTGGACGGCACCCACCGGGTCACTGCTCGGGTTGTAAATGCTAACAGCAAAAGAATTTGCCCAGCTGAGAGCCAGCTGGTTCTGCACAGATGCAAAAGATAAACGAACTGCTCTTAAATTGGGTGCCAGCCAACACAAACGACCTTTGGAGAGGAGATGGGGAGTGGTCAAAGCCATGGCAGTGAAGAACCACCAGCACTGCTTGAATCACCAGGAGGGAAAGGCTTTGTCCTCAGCCCTGAGGTGGGATTTGCCTTGCAGGGGAATTCAGTTTTTAAAGCATTTTGGGACCTCCAGGCTTGCGAGGGGTGGCTGTGAGTTTTCTACTTACATCATGGAGGGAGGTGGGATATTTGGGGAGCTCCTTTCCCGGGGATGGAGCAGGGGACAAAACCCAGCCTGGCACGGGGACGCGCGCGGGGGTGAAGAGTGGGTCACAGCAGGAGAACAAGCCTTTTTCAAATCATTTTGCTGTGTGTTTTCAAAAATCGCACCTGGAGCGTTTTCACCCTTAATTAGAGATCATTGTCCTGGGTATTGTGTAACCAGGTAGGCTGAGGCTTTCAAGACATGTTTTATATAACCAACTCTATTTTTAGCTTAATCTGCAATTAATTAGAAACTGGAGCTTACTGGAGCTGTAATTAGAGTTGACATTTCCACGTTACCTTCCATCCCAAAGGTCTCAGGAAACTGTATGTACCCCATCGTGTCCATCCTGTAGGTTTATACCAGGAAAAAAACAGGTTTCACCTGCAAATTACACAAATCCTGAGCAGCTTTGAGACATCAGCGACTACACGTACGTCTCACACACGCTGGCGTGGCATGTACTCAGAAACACGCGTGTTCCTGGCACACGCAGAACAGCAGCAAAATGGTTAACACGGATGGTTTCTAGGCTGTAACTTCACAGTGGAAATTTTCTTGACTTTCCTCCTCCCGGGAGTTTCCTTGCATCTTTGTCCTGTTGCATAAGACCGCTGGAAAAGGCGGGGGGTGGGGGTGTCACTGATGAGCTATTTAGCTCAGCATCCTCAGCCCTTCCCGGGGAAAGCTGCCTTTGACGTGCACTCGGAAAGGGCCTGTCACAGTTTGTCTGCTGTAGGAACAAAGGTGCCGACCAGTGATAGCTTTCTGTATTTTGCATATCCTGCTAATTCCACCCAAGTAAAGCTGAAATATGAGAAAGAATTAAGAGGGAAAAATTGTTTATACAGGCGTGCCAGAAAATAACGAAAATTCAGTGTGTTTAAGGAGCGGGTGTAAATTGCAAGGAACAGTTAATTATTAATACAATCATTAAATTCTTGGGCTAAACAATTAGGCCCAGCAAGCAATTCCTTCAGAGGAGGCATCAGCAATCAAATTATGAAGGGCCAATTTGCATTCTCTCCCCCCCACCCCCACCCCCCACCCCCCCCCGATTATTTTGCAGTTCTCAGCTGGAAGTGTGATTTTGGAACAAAAACGGCTGAGGGCTTTTTAGGGAAAACCTATTGCAGGCTGCCGGGGAACAAAAGCACTGCAGTCTTTGGCAATTTTCACGTTGCATCTCACTGAATAACACTGAATGGCTGTCCATCCAGGCGCTGGGTGCTTCTGCCCAGCTGTGCTCCTCTCTGCGTCCCCAAGGATGGACAAAGGTGTCCACAAATTAACGGGAAGACACCCTGATATTCCGGGTGCCCGGAGCTGCGGTCAGGATCCTCATCACCCCATTGGTTACGTGCTGGAAAGGCAGAAGCTTGAGCCTCAAACCGGCCTCAGAAATGCTCCCATGTGGACTTCTGGGGTCAGGCTCGATGATAAATAAAGAAGCGAGGTGCCTACAGAAGCAGCATCTTAAATATTACGCGTCGTAATTTATCCGTGCTCCTTCCCTAGGCTGCAATAACTCCTTCTCTTGAGCCTGGCAGGATTAGGAACGAGGAGAGTGTGCCAATGCAGGCCACACAAATGTCCTCGCCGAGCTGTGCTTCAGGCACCCGTATGGCAGCGGGGAGCGGAGCCTCCTGCGCCAGGAACTCCGCGGAAAGCACGGCTGGCTCCGCTCCGCTGCGGCGCGGACCAGGAGCTCTGAAGCACATCTGCTCCCCGCTGGGGTTGCGTTGAGCTGTTCGGCTTCACCGCAGCTCTGGAAGAAGGAACCAAGAGGGTTTGCCGGTGCCCGTTTTCCCATTCTGCCTAGAAATAACCTCCTTCCCAAAGGGCGAGATCGGCGCTGAGCGGCGCGCGGGCCGAAGGGTGCCTGGGGAAGCCAGGGAGATCGAGAGTCACGGTGGCAGACGTGGTTATCGCCCTTCTGGGATGGTCCTCGGCTCTCCAGTAGCAGCAGGAGTCCCTCCCTCGGGCTGGCCCCTCGCACAGGGTGCTGTGCTAGCAGGGACCAGCGGGGTTCAAACCCCCCGCGTCCCGCCAGAGGTGCCTGAAATATTTATACCCACCACACACAGGGCTCGCTCAACATCACAGAGCGTTTCCAGCCAGCCAGGAGCAGCTGGTAAAGTGACTCATTCCTGTTTATCCTTCAATATTTGTCCTCCTTTGTTCAGAACGCTGCTCTGTTCTGTTTCACTCGGGGAATTTATTTTCATTTCTCTTCATGTCCCAGGAAATTCGTATTTTTTCCCTGTGTTCTCTTCCAAAGTCATGAGGACGCAAGGCCCGTTTTCTCCCAGGTGCTTTGGCCCTTGACCTCAGTGAGGGCAAATTCAAGTTTACACCCGCCGGGGCAGAGCCCGGGGCACGGGGTTTGGAAATCAGGTCTTGTTTCTGCCGCTGGACCTTTTGCGCGATGCTGGAAACGTCAGGCACTCGCTCTTTGCGCCGTTCTCCTCCTCGCTGGCAACTGCACGTCGTGTTTGCTGCCGGCTGAAAGCGGGCGAGTTGGGTGCTGCAAGGTCACCCAAGGCCTGCAGCCGTGAGCGGTGTCCCCACCTTGGTGACACCAGAGATCACCGGGGCACAGCCCTGTCTCCTGACAAGGGAATAAACATCTCAGCTTCTCCTATTTATTTTCCACAAACGTCTTGGCTTTGCTTGAGCAGCAGGAAGCCATTAATTACCCAGTGACAGTGTTCCACGAGCATCCCTTAATTGAATGCCATTATCCCTTAATTAATTAAATACCAATTAATTACCAGGAACATTGCATGACAAGTAACAAATGCCATCAGCTAGTTGAGACAGGATAA